GTTACGAGCAATCAACAATAATATGAGAATAAAGTTTAACGATGAAATCAAGTTACACCGTGGACACAGGCATTGAATAAGGTTTACTGACGGGCAGCGATTAAGAAGCGGCGTATAAAATATATATATATATAAATTGAAATCTACAAGGGATTAAATTAACATTCGCGTTGCTACGAACTCGCGGTCCTTTCCCGCTCCGCAGTCGTTCCTTTTCCCTCCCGGGACAGGACGATGACATTAAGGATTGTATTAATCAGGGACTGTCAGAGCTGCGATTCTTCTCGGCGACTCGCGGAAGGTGGGTGCCGAGGGGTGGCAGCTCCGTGGTTCGAGGAAGAAGAATGACAGAACGAAGAGGAAGCGCAAGCCGGAGCTGGCAAGCTGCGAGAGGGACACGAGTTCTGGCCACGGTTTGCTAAGGCGGATCTGCCGATGACGTCGAGAAATGACGCAAAAAAATAACAGCCAGACTATCTGGCACCGAGGGAGCTATACTTTTTCCTTTGTCGCGCGTGTCTAGCGTAGCCGCTAATCGTCAAGATACTTTGGATCCTACCGCTTGTCGCGATCACATCGCTTGCGAATATTGAGATCGGTAATTTTACATGCAATAATGAGATGCGGTGGTCATAAAAATGTGCATGGTTATACGTTTACGAGAGATATGCTGTCCCATTCGCGGTACAGAGGGAAGTTTTAATTACAACGCGGCCATCAATGTTGCCGTTGCTCTGCCGCTCGCAAAAATGTAGCGCGTCGAACAGTAAACAACAACGGCCTGACATCCTCGGAGAAGCGCATCGGCTACCTAAGCTCCGGTTAATGCTCTTATTTGAAACGCTTCTGGTCAGAGGCGGTTATAATAGCGGCGTGGCCCTTAAATGGCCCCGTGTTCAACAGCCCTCAAGTATTTCCAATATCCTGCAGGGGAGTGAGATTCGTCTTCTTGTCTTCTTTCCTCATTCCGCTCACGCCGTTCCTATTCTTCCTTTCACTCTCTTCTTCTTCATCCTCCGCCTCTCTCGCGCTCTCTCTTTCCCCTTTCATCTATCTATCCGTCTATCCGTGCTCCCGGCTCTCCTTCGCGCGGTTGCCTCTTCCCAGAGTTCATTCATGCCTCCTGGTGGCGAGGACCTCATTACCCACGGTGAATGGATCCTTCCCGTTCTCCCCGTGCGCCCAAGGTTCGCGCCGCTGCTTGAAATTCTCGTTGCTTGACGCTTCTCGATACTTCTCCCTTTCTTATTCTTTTACTTCGATCACCTGCTCCCCTTTTTAAAGAGTCTTTTCACGAGACACGCCTCGGAGGCAGCTAAAAGAGGCGCTGCTCGAAAGTAATGTCTTACGATCGAACTTTTGCATCGCTATGTCACACGTGTGTATAATTAATCTTCTTCAAAGTGTCTTTCCATCGGCGGTCTATAGATTTCGTTACGTTACACCTGCAACTCTTAAAATTTGCTTGACAAACCGCTCCAGTTGCTCGCAGCTTAGAAGCTTTAACAAATGCTGTCGTTAAGAGAATATTGACTAATCGAAACAGTTGTCGGATTCGCATACGCCCCGCACACCTTTCGAACCAGCAAATTCACACGTGACGCTTTAATCCTTTCTGCCTAATATTGTCACGGTACGGCGGCAATAATCTGCGTATCGACATTTTTTTCTTTCTTTGCATCCGGCGCAGGAGGTGCAATTTTGGCAGTCGCATTTTTCTTCTCGCGCGAAAGGTTAATCGAGACCCAAGCTTTATCTGGCGCGTTCCGCACACCTGGAGGCCGCGGCCTAATGTCTACCTGTTCTGTTTTCGGGAGCCAATCATCACGTTCGCCACAGGCGCGTGCAACGATCTGTGGCCCCTTTCCTCTCGCACCTTCCTTTGCCCAGGCCATTTCTCTCCCGGCTTTCTTTCTCGTCGCTCGCCCTGATTCGGTCCGATGACTTTGTCAACGTTGTCGCCGCATTATTACACTTCTTGCTCGCTCTCCGATCGGCGTAACTTCTAAATACTAAAAATGTAGTACAACCTACTTATCTATTTTTAAGAAAAGTGTATATCAGAAACCTCAGTCAGCGACACTTTCGAGTTCGACGAGTTTTTCGGATGGAAACATCCGAGTTTTCCTTCTCGCAAAGTGAGGTACGTAACAAGGAGAGAATGTTCTCTTAAAATTTATCCTGAAAATCTAATACTTTTTACTAGCAATTACACTAACAATTAGTGTATATTTGACTAGTGAAATGTATGGTAAAATTAAAAAAAAAACCCTTGTAAAGATGTTCAAAATACCATGTGGTCCCACGAATACATGATTTTCAGGGTAAATTTTAAAGAAAAATTCCGAGGGGGAAACCGCTGACCAAAATCTTGTACACACACACCAATGCCCACTAATGCTCAGTGGGCATTACTTTATCTTATTTAATCTTATTATATTTTTATAATGCCTCAGCCAGGCCTAATGCCCAAACTAATGCCCAAAAAATGCCTAGTAATGCCCCTTTAATGCCGCAAATCTGTACACCGCATTTCCCCTCGGAAAAATTCCCTCCGTGTAGTTACATTTGAATTTTTAGCCACTTGACCAATTTAATATTTAAGATATACAAAATAGTCTTTCTTTCTATTCTATTGTTTTTAGCTTCAATAGAAAATCTGATATTTGACATAACGAAGACGTACGTAGACGAAAGGAATGGCGGTACTATCGAAAATGTAAATCTCTGTAAAAAAAAAAACATTTTATTGTTGGACGAGTCGCGATAAAGAGACGTCGATCGATGGTTGCGGTAACAGCGGAACAATTTTTATTGCAGGAAATTATGTAGCTTGCGACTTTTGCCCCTGGGTGGGGAGAAAAAAAAGTTGTCTTTGGCACATTTGTGAAAGAAGGCCACGGTCATACGCGTAGCTATTCGTCGCGATAAGTGCTGTACGAGAGGTCGTCGTAATCGTTTGCGTAACCGGGTCGTAAAAACGATAAACAAATACAACTCGATGTAAGAAGAAACATTCGTGTTCTGTACGTCTGTGTTTCATCAGCCGCTCACCAAGCACGCGCGCCTCTTTCCTTATTTAACAAATGAACTTTAGGAATGAATGAACTATTGTACGCTAGGGTCCGTTCAGGCCCCAAGCCTAAGGAGTTGAGTTTAAATCTCGCCATTTCTATGTGTATCTCTCAAAGAAAATGATAATAACGGATAATTATGGTAATAACGAGAGGAGAAACGATGTGTTTTCTATGTTCGGCTCTGTATCTCGAACGTATTATGTTGTACGCTACATGGAAAGAGAGTTTGTTTGAACCATAGTTGAGCACGAGCTACGTGATATTCTTAAAATGACCTTTTCGTACACACACATATGCGCCACACAGCGCGAGTCGTTATCGCTGGTAACCTTTGGGCTTTAACCTCAGCAGCTAGCCCTTGAGGGAGATTATCGTGACGATTTATCTCACAGTATCGGTAGCGTTATAACATCCGTTTCTTGGAAAAAACCCCCGAGGTGTAACGCTAGATCAAAACTTGCAATTAGAACGTGCCCTTTTGAATGTTAAATTTCAGCGTTCTCCCTCTCCCAATATTCGTAATTACGTTGTAAAAATGCTTTCATGGCAGCTACGACGTTTTTACCTTGCGAAGTCAGTTTATGACGCGAGATCTGAAAAGATTAGTTATGTGAAAGTAAGATCCCCTTTAAGTCTAAACATTAGGCAACAGCTTGTCTTATTTGTGTGAAAGAATTAATGCTAATCTCGGAGTAATATACTACGCTTTCGTAATTTTAATTAAATTGAAATACGGAACGAAGCTTGCGAAGATATGGGAAAACTCAAAAAGTATTACATCGGATTTTTTGTATTATTTTACATGCGCATTCTAATTCCCGTGTCCAGAGAGCGCGTTCGCGTAAAATGAACGAGGAACGAAGACCGTTTATGTCTTACTCGGACATCGCCAGTACGTCTTCTTCGTTCGCTTCTTCATCATCTCCGTCATCTACCGACCCCCCTTCGGACTCTCCTTTTTGTGCAACGGTAAAGCAGTAAAATGCATTTCATGCAACGCGCAAAAAAGAAAGCCAAGGAGAAACACCTCCGTTCTCCGAAAAGTAATGCGCCGTTAAAACTGGAAATTGTAATCAAAGCCTCGTTTCAGCGAGGATCACTAAGCTCCTTCCGAAAATTTGCATTCGATCTTCATCAATCAGATAATCAATCAGATTTCTGCTGCCGGTTCGTGAGATGGACGTGCGACGGTCGGAAAGGAGAAAACGTATTAAATTGCAGAAGATTCGTTATATTTTAAAATACAATTGAAAATGAAAGTTCACCGAAAAGCAAAATTGCCGCCACGACGTTTAATCTACTTTTTTTTTATATCTCGAGAGCAATTTTTCCATTTCTTTGTGAAAGAACTTTGATTTTTTAATTTTACTCGAGCTTGCTCTCAAAAGAATAAACCTTTTGTACCAATTTAATATTTTTACATTACACACACTCACATATACACGCACAGGATGCTAATTATGGATTCGATTACGTTCTACCGAGGAAAGGTTCATTACACAGTACATGAAGCATAAGATCTTGTTAGTCCGCAACATATTAAGTGGATTAATATGAAATTAACAAAGACGTGCAGCTGGCTTTAAAACTAAATGCGATGTGCTCGAATTACATCTTTATTTTGCCTGTACGCGTGGCTAGGTTAGGTTAAATCTAAAGTGGTATGGATTAAAAACAAAGGTGTAAAAAAAAAATTAAAGGGACGAACGTTAATTCTTCCGAAGGTAATCTCGATAACGCTTTTAATGTCACTAGCGTGTCAGGGTCTTTATTGCCTTTCTTAATTTCTTGGCCGCCGGCAACGGAAGCGCGATTAATTTTGAGTGCAAGTATTTTGCCGTTTCACCGATTCGACATGGAAGCTAGTCGTCTTCTTCTTCCTCTTATTCTTATTGCTTTTGCTCCTACAATCGACCACTGTAATTGCATTTAATTGCACACAGAACAGTACTTTTAATAGCAATAAAAGCTGTAAAACAAAGAAACAAACATTATGTATTACGGGAGAGAGGAAATTGTTACCTGGTCAGTAAAATATAGAAATTGGAAAGAAAGGGCGCGCACATTTTCGACGAAGAAAATTGCAAGTTTTACGCGGACGGTCTTCTTCGAGTTTAGATTTATCCTTTGTCTTTATTTCATCGCAAGCGCGCGTATCGGCGTATCGAGGATTTAGAAAATCATCTCGGCACGTAATACCGTGTGCATGTAACACCTGCGCTATATGATTATGCAAATCAGGAGAATCACGACTTTGCCACCTTCGGCCGAGTCACGCTCGCGATGTTTGCACGGATAGGAGCGCGACGATTAACTTGATTTACCGAGCTTAGCGGCGTGTTACTTATGTTTCATCCAACTTAACGAGATTTGTAACATACGTGCTATTTAAAGATCGCCGTATTATGCAACGAATGCACTGAATGCGTGTGTCATTTCGATAATAAACGATTTCGTGATCGTGTTTACCGAGCGACGCCAGACCGTACCGTGCAATTAGGCGCAGCATTGGTCGCGATGCATAATTAATTTATGTTAAAACGCGTCCGTTTCGCTATCGATCACGTTTTAAAAAGGCGTATAAGACATGTACATCGCGTGTGCAACAGGTGACAGTGCATCTCCGAAGGATAAACCGCGCGTTTTCCCGCGATGATTCGTGGACGACTATCCAGCGTTCATAGATAAGCACGATAATTCGTCGTTTCTCATTTCATCGATGTGTCTTTACTGATGTGAATCCAATTACACTTTGTACCTCCATTCAAATGCGTGGGATTATTCGAGTACACGTGGCGTTTGTATTATATAACTGAACGCTTCTTTCGTGGCTCGTTATTAAAAATGTGTAGACTAAAGAGAAAAACGCTCGTACGTACAAACTGGTACAAATTGCACCACGGCGCGCTACACACCGTGACAGCGACCATGTCATTCCTCGCACAAAGGACGCTTAATACTTTCACCGTTCGTCCAGAATCCCCGTGGCGGCATCCTGGCAACGAGCGTCGCTGAAACGACCGGTAGTGGATATCGCGTGCGCGCTCTGGGCGGGTTCCCAACCCCAAGGCGATCGCCACGAGGTCCGCGGACTCTGCCGTTACCGAGAAAATCTTTCGCTGCGGTGCAGTGGAGCAGTGTACCGCTCCGGATAATCGAGCAGCCGCAATCTTGCAGCGACGTTGACTCGCGATATCGCCCGCTTGAATTCGCCTCGGACCTGGAAATTACAATTGATAATAATAATCGCTTCATTGTAAACGTGCAAGTTCGATATTTTACTCATTCGGGCATAAAGAGGAGATGCAAGAGCGATGCTGGCGCGATTCCTGATCAGAATAAGACGTAAATGAGATAAAACAACGGGAGTAAACAAAAGAGAACAAAAGAGTATAATGAAGAATTTCTAAAGGACGCCCAATAAACTGAATTGAGGCACGATAAATCGCGCCGCCGTGAACTTTGCCTTAGCTGCAACGTAATCTTTTATAGCGCCGTGAATTACGTAATTTTGTTTTAATTAATTACTTCGATACGTGCTGTTATCTTTCGAAATAACACCTTCGAGAAATTATCGGTGTATAAAAGGCGCTTTTAGTCATGCCGCTGGCAGGTGAGTGACTTCCCTCGTTATGTGAAACGCGGATCCCGATCTCGATCGCGATCGAGATCGGGCTGTTCTCGGTGGCCATTGCCTCTCGGCGACACGACAGACCCCTCGAATAATGCGGGGCTACGCCCACGTGCACCACGCCCTCTGCCTTTTTTTGCGGTTTAATTAGGAATACGGAGCGCAATTACGAGAACCACACCCCCGCCGGTTAGATCGTCAGTTGTTACCTCGATTTAATGTATCAACGTCTCGGGCAGGCTTAACCCGGCTCTATAAGCCGAGGGGTCATATGCAAATCTCCTGCGAAACGTTCCCGTGCGTTATCATACATGCATTTTTATGCGTACTCAGCGTGACAAAAAACGCAACGACGAATTCTAATCGTTGGAATAACGATAGCACGTTGTTACGTTTACTCATATCTTGCGGCAGGTTCAAAGAGAACCTTAATAGCAGTGGCCGGCTAGAGAATCAGAAATCTTTATTAATATTTTGACATACTTACATCTTCAAAAACATCACAGTGAGATTATTGGCCTTTTCAAGCGTATTTTCGAGAAATGACTTGGCCCAACACCATGACTCATTGTCAGTCAGTTTTATCATGTGACGGAAGAAAGGTCGAAGCTAGGAGACTGTCCTCGTTTTTTCTCCAATGATTGCTTTATTCGAACGGAGGAAAACTATTAAAATAATGTGCATAACTATTTACACCTATTAATGTAAAATAGTTTGAAACGTTATACAATAACTACTAATGATTATTGGATCTTACTAGGACAAGGAGTTTTGCTCGCATTTTGCAAGTAACACCACATAATATTTCACCCTTCACACGCATTAACATTTCTGCAATTTCTACAAATCATTTTACAAAAATAACACTAGTAACATATCGTTCTAGGGACAAAAAACACGCTGAGGATCACTTAGTCATCTTTGATCTATGATTAGCTAATTACAGATTTAAAAATAGCGTTACCAATCATGGTATCGTTATAAGTTGAGAAACGAAATAATGTATAATGCATAATAATGTAATATAAGTGAACTTTAACTCCTTTAAACTGAATATGTAAAATGTCCTATTGACAATCAATTGCTCGTATTATCGTTGGCCTTATACTCTTGATATTTATATTTATTTATATGTAATTAATGTATATGTAGGCTGCAAGAATACAATTACACTTGACTATATTTCAAGGAATCGCACAGAGCTGTTGTTGCTCAACAGCGGAGAGTCGGCTGTTAAGTTAACCGTCAATACAATTTTTTTTAATAATAATGTCATTACCTATATAATTAACGACTGTCGGTGGCGAACGCGTTTGTGCCCACAGTTGCGAAGAAAAATTGCGAGACAAGCCTTGTTCAGTAATCACTTTTCTTTGATATTCCTCGCGGTGCAGTTTATCAGCACTCGCAGTAAATTTCTGCGCCGAGCCGCGCATTTGTGCGTACGCGACCAAAGATATACCACCGGCATAGGCAGTAATTATATTCTGCAAAGCGACGCGACCCCTCCAGGGTAGCCGCAAAAGGGTGGCTGTCAGAGGCGACCGTCGTGCAGACGCCACCCTCTGTCGCGGCCGGAAGTGACGCACATCTATCTTGTCTCTGCGTTTCAATCGTACGCTTCCGTCTTAGAGCGAAGGGGGCATCTTCTTTGGGCTTATTGTTTTGTTAGGAAAAAAGATTAAGAGATTAGAGGTGAGTTGCGTTTTACGCGGATTGTTATTTTTTTCCCACTTAACTTCCTAAATTCGGATATGCTGTCGTTATTTCAATCTTTGAAAAAAAAAATAAGGAAATCCGTTTGCGATTACCTTACAAAATATATTGTTTGTCGCGCGATCTTTTAGTTTGTCGGAAATTTATTTGATATACAAATTTGGATTGCTTAATATTCCAATTTTCGACTTAAAACACTCTCGAATTTTTAGTAATGAATAAAGTAATAATTAAATTGTTCATAAAATATAAAATAGGGTAGTTGTGTATATATATATATATAATTTATTAACTTCAGCTTATACAGCCAAGAAGTGGACTTGGTTTACAATGGGTTCTTAACTCATTCATTCTTGCACACATATTTCGTTCCTCACTACTTTTTTTCCTTACATGTGGCTAGTATTTCTAATTGCTTTATTTACTTAGTTTACTTGTACCTATATTTAACAATGCTAAACTTAACTTTATCCTATATCAAATCTTTCTTTAAACTATTGGTACTTGTATGGGTCTTGTATTCCTTATTTATACTTTTGTTAAGAATAGGGTAGTTGTAATTTCAAATTCGTAAGTGAGCAGGAACATTCTCAGTATCCCAAATCTCTAGCACATTTTTCTGTTAATTGTCGAGAAACTGGGACGCGGTGAACGAATCAACTCGGATTTCGCGGTTCGCCCCTCGGTCTTGCACGTCGGACGATTCAATTATCAGGGCCGCCGGTGAAACCGTGTCCAGTTTACAAGAAAAGGGCGCGGGCACGAGCATAGTAATTGGGCGAAATGTACGCACGCCGAATTTCGGGGGCTAATGGAGATTTATTGCACCTATAAGCGTAGCAGAGCGATGCTGCAGCTGCTGTGACGCGACGCGACTTTCGTGCCGCTTAGGAGAGCAGCACGTCCGTCGCATAGTTGTTCCGCGTAACCGTTGCGGCACATTGTCTTGTGTGGAGTTGCCGACAATGGGACAGGTGCTACGATACTCATCACAAGGTATATCTCGATATCCCTTTTTTTTTATTGAGGTAAAGTGTCGCTCGCCAGGGAAATGCGTTTGTTACATTGCCGCATTTCATTACGATTGTTTTATTCATTTTCCCCCGAAACAATATTTTTATTAAATCCGTAAAATTCGTACGGCTGAAATGTGATAAACACAAATTTGAAGGAATAAAGGACCGAGAGCCGCGACAGGGTGTTAGTGTCTAAATATTTCACATTTGAAACTGATTGCGAAAATTGTTACCTCAGCCAGGGTTTGAACCTGGACCTCCCTCTCGCTAGGCGGGCGTCTCTACTAATTAATATTTTTATTATTTACACAATTCGATGTTAAACGCAACGGATTAGCTTACGCGCATCACGTGGGGTTGATTAGATTCTGATAAATTCCGTTGTTTACACGATGATCGCTCGTTCCATTGTGAAGTTACGTTGCCAACGTAAGGCGCGCAGAGAGACGTGACGAATTAGGCGGAAAGAGATAGTACGGTAGTTATTTAAATAATTGACAATGTTTACGAACCGCTCGTGATCCTCGGCCCTCTTCGTAAAGGGGAATCGAATTAAACGCGGACGTATGGTGAATAATTAATCGGTGGACGCTTACTTAAACTCTCGCCGGTGAAAAAGAGGTCCCTTCCCGTTATCAACGATGCTATTGATCGACGAATTACAAGTCTTTCCCGATGTACGTGCTACATGTTCTCTTTGCCTTTATCGTTCAATCGAAACATGAGATAGACTTTACGTCGAGGAACGTATAGAATAAATATTTGCCTTGCGATTAAGGTATTCCCGAAACTATTCGGGACGTGGCACACAAGCTTACCTCACGTCGAATTTTAATGACGAGTAAGGAATAGAAGTAGAGGAATAGAAATTACTCAAAGACACTTTCGGGCTTCTTTCGAATTTGCTCTGCGTATAAACTGTTTAGAAAAACGGAAATACTGGGCCATTTACAAGCATTATTTATTACACGACAAACTCTTTCTCTCTATCTCTAGGTATTTTTTATCTTTATTTCCATCTACAACGCAACGCGAACATTTCATATCTACGAAACGCTAAAAGTTATGGTAGGCTTCAGCCTGTCGGCCGGACTCTGAACGATCGGGCAAGTTAGAAAACGTCGAAGACGTAGTAATGTAACCGCGCGCCTTCGTTGACCTCCGAAATTTTGTTACCCCAATAATTCACAAGGCTTTGACGCGCGAGAGGCGTAACGATATCGTTATCTTCTCCGCGATTAAGCCGTCTCTTTGTCCGCTCTCTGTCTCCCTTCGAGAGCGAAAGCTGCTGGAGAAAAGTGGCTCGGCCGGATGAAGCGGTGGCAGGAGGAGAGGGAGAGTAGAGCAGAGAAGGAGAGAGACGTCTCATCCGCGCACCGGTCAGCATCGTCCTTTTCTCTCTCTCTCTCTCTCTTTCGCTCTCTCTCCCTCCCCCCCCTCTCTCTCTCTCTCTCTCTTCCTTCCTCCTTTCTCCTCATCTAATGGTTTAGGAGTCGTTCCGGACATTAGCTTCTGCGCTAGCGCGCGGAGGGAGCCTCGTCGTCGTCGACGTCGTCATCGTCTTCTTCTCTTCTTCTTCTTCTTCTGCAGCTCTTCCTTCCCTTCATTCTCCAGCCTCTCGTTTCGTCTCCCTCGTTCAGGAGCTCTCCCGGGTCGCTCTTTCCCCCCTCGCTGCCCTTTGAAAAATGACCCGCGTCCTCCCGGAGAAATAAGAGTGTCATCATCATTAGCCCGCCGAGTTACACGACGGACCTTACGCACACGAAGCGCCGTAATGCGCGCGCACGTACACACTTGCGCGTGTGCATCCGTGACAATGGGCACGAGGCCTCTGCTCTCGGAATCACGATCAGGATT